TTTCTTGTAAGGCTGGTCTAGTGATAATGAACTCCTTTTAGCTTTTGCTTATCTGGAAAACTCTTTTTTTTGTTTGTTTGTTTGAAAAACTCTTTATCCCACTTTCAACTTTTTTTTTTCTTTTGCTGGGTAGGATAGTCTTGGTTGGCAGTTTTTTTTCTTTCAGTACTTTGAATATACCAAGCTCCCTCCTTCTGGTATACGAAGTTTCTGTTGATACCTTTATGGGGGCGTTTCCTTACATGTAACAAGTTGTTTTTGTCTTGTTGTTTTTACGATTCTCTCCTTGTCTTTTACTTTTGACCCTTTAATTATAATGTGTCTTGGTGTGAGTCTTTTTGTGTTCATTTTATTTGGAACTCTGGGATTCCTGGTTCTGGATGTTTCCTTCCCTAGGTTAGGGAAGTTTCTAGACATTATTTCTTCCAGTAAATTGTCTGCCTCTTTTTGTTCTCCTTCTAGAACCCCTATAATGTGAACATTGGTCCACATGATGTTGTCCCATAAGTCCCTTAAGGTACCTTCATTGTTTTTCATTCTTTTTTCCTTTTGCTACTTTGATTGGGTGAGTTCTACTGCCTTGTTTTCAAGTTCACAGTCTTTCTTCTGCTTTGTCTAGTCTGCTGTTTAACCCCTCTACAATATTTTTCAGTTCACTTCTTGTATTCTTCATCTCTGTGACTTCTATTTTGTTCCTTCTTATATTTTCTGTACCTTTTTTTGAAGTTCTCACTGTGTTCATGCATTCTTCTCCCAAGTTCAGTGAGCATCTTTATGACCATTATTTTGAACTCTTTATTAGGTAAATCACTTATCTCCGTTTCATTAAGGACTTTTTTTCCTGAGGTTTTATCTTGTTCTTTCATTTGGAACACATTCCTCTGTTTCCTCCTTTTCATCTCTCTGTGTTGGTTTCTGTGCACTGGATAAAACAGCCACCTTTCCCAGTCCTGATGAAGTGGACTTGTGAACTAGATGAACCTTATCATTCAACCCTGCCCTAACTCTTGGTTGTCTCTAAAGCTTTCATCCTTGTCCAAGCAGCCTATTTTATTTTAGTGACTCCTAGTAGCTGATGGTGCGCTAAGACCTGTCAGTGTCCCAAAGAGTAGGATATCAGTCAGCAGTTAGGTTCAGCTCAAGCAGTAGCTTCTAACTTATGCAAATATATATAGTGGGGGGGGCCACAAGTGTAAGTCCCACTGGCCACCAAAGCTAGATGCTCTAGAAGTGTCCCCTGGGTGGCAGTCACTTATTTTTAAGTGCCAGGCAAGTATACAAGTTTCCTTCTGGGAGATACCAGTGACCTGGAGTGAGGCAGAAAGTGTGAATATGGCATCCACTGGCACCCATCCCTTAGTGTATCTCAGTAGGCACCTAGTTGTGTGCCAAACCAAAAGCCTGCCCCTCAGGCTGATGTTCCAGGACAAGCAAATAGGTCTCTTTCCCAGAAAGACTGGGAAAATGTTTCAGTCCCCTCTCTGCACAGTGCCTTAGGGTTGGTAGCCAGCCAAGAATTGTCTCTTTGTTTGTTACAGTCCCATGGGATACAGGAACACAAGCCCTGTTGGCCACTAGAGAAAGACAATCTAAGGGGTGTCCTCTGGGTGGCACCCATAAAAACCAGCATACCAGAGACATGTGCAAGCATGTTTCTGGGAAATACTGGTGCTATGGAGCACAGCAGAGGGAGAATGAAGATAATGACTGCCCTCTGAGGTCTCCGGAGAGAATTATAGTGTGCCCTTACTTGGATGTTTAATTAGAATCCTGCCCTTCAGGCCACAGCTGTGGAGATAAGCTAATAGGCCTCTTTCATAGAAAGACTGAGTGCCTTGGTCTGTTGTCTCTTGTTGTGCTTTGAGGGTGGTAGCCAGTTAAGAACTTATTTCTCCATTGGTTACAGTCCTGTGCACCCCTGAGCATAAGCCCCCATTGGCTAGCTACCAGAGCCAGGTGGCCAGAGTTGTTCCCCTGGGCCACAGCTGCAAGAATTGGTGTGCCAGAGGAGGGTATAAGCTCTTTTCTGGGAGATACCAGTGAGCTGAAGTGAGGCAGAGGGACAATGGAAAGATGGTGCCAGCCATCTTCCATCCCTCGAGATGCAAGGCCCCTAGGTGTATGTTAAATTAAGATGCCTGTGCCTCAGGCCATCACTTTAAGAAAATAAGCTGCTTTCACACAAAGTCTGAGCGCCTCTCAATTGGCTGCTTCTGTGCTTATCCCTGGGGTGAGTCCAAGCATGAGAGCTCTCTTTAAGAGCTGTTTTTCAGTTCACTCTAACCTTGTGGGTCTCATGAATGAATCCTCTTGGTTTTCAAAGCTAGTTGTTTTGGAGACTCATGTCTCAAGTCTTAAAACGTTGGAGTACCCAATGTGGGGCTCAAATTCTTTGCTCCTCAGAAAGCTCCAGGTTGTGGTTTCCCTCCTGATTGTGGATTGGCTGCACCAGGGGTAGGATTTATGGCAATTGTCTCAGCCTCTCTCTCCTACCAGCTTCAGTATGAGTTTTTTCTTGTGTTATCTGTAGGAGTCACTCAGCAAGTTTTTAGGTTTTTTTTTTTTTTAGAGGAAATTGTTCCATAGGTAGCTGTAGATTAGGTGTATCTGTGTGAACCCAGGATCTTCCTACATTGTCCTCTTAAACTAGCTCTGTTTTGTTACTTTAATAGAAGCAGCCAACAATCTTTAAAGAAATTTAATAATATATGTATAAAAAATAGGAATAATTTTAAAGATCTTTTATATTTTCTGACCTATTTACTCTTTATTTACTCATTTCTGCAGAACCAGGTTTCTAAGATACCTATATATAGATATGTATGTATGTATCTATCTAATCATGCAGAAGCTCTTCACACCTTTAAAGAGCTCTTCAGACCTATTCATGGAAGTCATGTACCATCAGTTCTGTTTTTTGTGTCTGAAGCAGTCACAACCTACCCAAATTCAAGTGGAGGCGAAACAGATCTCCATCTTTTCATGAGATTAGTGTTAATGAACTTGTGGGAAGTGTTTTTAAACTGCCTCATTGTTACTGAAGTATCTAATAAATTTCTTAGAGAGCAGGACTGCTGGAGACCAGCATTTACTTCTTCACGTAACTTGTATTTGGGTTAACTAATCTATACCTTGTTTTGTCAAAAGAAATGTTTACTTTTAAATTTTAAGCTTTCTGATGAATCATGAATCATAATTTCCTGTTTTGGTTTTATCAGTAAGTAAATCTCGAGTTCTCCCAGATTTTTCCTTTTCTTTTCACAGTATCTTATCCTCTTAGAAAATATATTATGTTCTATTATTGCTGTATAATAAATAACCTAAATATTTAGTGATATAAAACCATAACTTTTGATTTCTCTAATGACTCTGTGTGTTAGGAATTTGGAAGGCTGTTCTTACTTGGGGCTCTCATACAGTTTTGGACAGATGTCATATTGGGCTCCAGTCATCTGAAGGTTGCACTTGGCTGGACATCTACAATAACTCACTCACATGGCTGGTAGTTGATGCTGGCTGTCTGTTGCTCAGCTGAAGCTGTCAACTAGAGCACTTATATACAGCTTGTCCATCATAGTGGCCTCAAGATAGACTTTTTACATTGCAGCTGATTTTCTCCAGAATAAGTGTCTCAAGATTATCATGCAGAAAATTTTCATACCTTTAAAGAGCTCTTCAGACCTATTCTTGGAAATCATATAGCATCAGTTGTTTTTTTGTGTGTGAAGCAGCCACACAAGCCTACCCAAACTCAAGTGGAGGTGACAGACCCCCATCTTGTCATGAGGTAAGTGTTAAAGAACTTGTGTGCAGTATTTTTAAACTGCCTCATTGTTACTACTGAAGTATACCATACAGATAAGAAAATGCATAGACTCTTAACTGTTGAGTTCAATGAATTTTGACAATTGTACAGACCCATGCATCCACCACCTGAAATAAGGTATAGAGCATGTTTTCACTCTATAAAGTTGCCTTGTGCCCTTTTTAAGTCAGTCCTTATCCAGTTACCTCTGTTCATAGTTAGCCACTATCTGAATTCTATTAGTTCTATTCTATTAGATTAGTTTTTCCTGGTGTGTGTTCTTTCACTCAACATAAAGTTCTGAGATTCTTCATATTATTGCATATATCAGTTGTATGTTATTTTTTATTACTGAGTCATATGAACATACCACCATATATTACCTTACCTATGTTGGATATTTTGGGTTTTGTCCAATTTATGACTATTCTGAATCGGGATGATATCAACATTCTTGTATATATCTTCATATGGTATCAGGGTATCTTTGGGAGCAATATTATATCACTATTCAAACCCATAGTATTTCTAAAGCATTTCTGTACCCTAAGACCTTTGATGTAATTTACCTCTAGATGATAGAGATTTGCTACCAAGCTCTTTGGGATGAATTCTTCCCTTCTTGAATCCAATACAAGATTGATTTGAATATGTAAAGAAAAGACCTTGGGATTCATGAAGGGTTGATTTAAAGAACAAAAACTAACGATGTCAACTACAGATTTAAAATCTGTATCTGTTAATACATAGAACATTTTCCCAAGTATGCACTAGATTAATGGAGATACTTTGGGAACTTAGGTCAAAATAAACTGACAAATTATGAAACATATGTGATAATGATAATAAACAAGACATTTATTTTTCATACTCATTTGGGGGAAAGGAGAAAAGTCAGTTTTCCCTACCCAATGATGGTCTTTCTGAAAGTCTCCATTCATTCCATAGAATTGGATAGGTTGCTTGATCTGAGGGTTTTTTAACTTTTAATTCATAAAGAGAACTTCCTTTGAAGAGGGTGGTCAAAGGGTGAGTCTTTGTGAGCAGCTTCGCTGGTGCACAGCCAGACTCCCTCTCTGAGTGAAGCTTTTCCCACACTGGCCACACAGATAGGGTGTCTCTCCTGTGTGGATTTTGCCATGCAGGATACAATTGCCCCTGGTGTGGAAACTCTTCCTGCACTGTGTGCAGGCATAGGGTTTCAGGCCTGTGTGGACTCTGATGTGAACAATTAAGCTTCCTTTCTGACTGAAGGCTTTTCCACACTGATCACATCTATAGGGCTTTTCACCACTGTGAACTCTTCTATGAACAGCAAGGTTACTTTGATTCCTGAAGCTTCTCTGACAAATAGCACACTCATAGGGTTTCTGTCCAGTATGGAGTCTTTCATGAACAGCCAGACTACCTCGTTGACTAAAGCTTTTCCCACACTCCTTGCACTGATAGGGCTTCTCTCCTGTGTGTATTCGCTGATGTGTAACAAGATTGCCTTTGGCCCTGAAGCTTTTTCCACAATGGGTACACTCAAAGGGCTTTTGACCAGTGTGGATTCTCTCATGCAAGGTTAGACTACCCTTTTGCCTGAAGGATTTTCCACATTCCTGACACTCATAGACCCTCTGTCTCACTCCAGGTGAATCTTCCTGTAGTGTCTTAGAATCTGGGGATTTTTGTTCCAGCTTCTCTCTTCTGAAAGAATTCTGGAAATCCCAGCTTGAGGATCCTGTGGCCTCAGAGTGATCATATTTGTGGTGGGCTTCTGTCATCACATCTGGTAAAATGAGAGGGAAGTCATGTAAGATGCACCAATATGCTGAGTGAGAAGAATAGGGAAAAAAGAAACAACGCTTTGAATGCTTAATATGTGCCAGACATTATACTATGAAATTTGCATAGGTAATCTAATCCTGAAAACAATCCTATGAGATTGCTACAGATAAGGAAATGAGAGCATGGGGAGGTTGTCACAGATCTTGTAGTTAGCTAAGTGTAGAGCTGGGATGCAAATGCAGGCATGCTCCACAGTAGTATACTGCCTCTAAATTTAGTTTAATTTAGCCTCCCAAAGAGTCTGGTAAGGTAGACATGATTATCTCCATTTTATAGATAAGAAAACAGGCTCAGAAAAATGAAGAAAACTATATGTAGGATCAAATAGAGCCCCCATACCCAAGTTTTATCTGACTCTAAAACAGGTATGGATCCAGGTTGTGTAGGGCCTAAAACTTTAAAATTTTGGAGGCACTCCATTAAGAAAAAGTATAAAAAGTAGGTACAGGGCCCTGAAGAGACCAATACATGAGAAATCCATCTCTGCACCAATCTCTTTTCCTGATAGTAGAGTAAGCTCCATGACATCAGAAAATATACATCAGAATCTTTGGTACATTACATCTATTATCTCTAGTCCCAGTAACCCTGCAAGGTAGAGTTTATTGTCCCATTTTACAGATGAAGAGCCTGGAGCTCAAGGAAGTTAAATAATTTGTCTGATACCACAGATCAAGCTAGGACAATTATAGAATCTGATCCAAGGAACTTTCCCCTTTAATATCCATGCTATTTCAGTCTACTAAGCTATGGTGAAGCTGAAATCAATTTTGGTTTGGAAGTTACTCTCAAACACTTTCTATGCTGATGCTGACAGTGTTTTCCATATTGACCTGCATCCATATTGCCCTGCATCCTACTGCACTTTAATTATGGGTTCATTCATCACTATTAACAGTTTTCTTGGAGTCATCCTAGGAAGATTTTCTCTTGCCTTACCCTTATTCAGTGATTGTGCCGAGATGTAAAGCTGCTCATTCATTTTCTCAGAGAATACCTCAAAACTATCTCCATATCAAGATCATTCTCTTGCTCTGTTTCTACTGCTATTTCTAATTCTAGCTTGCAGGCTTCCCCTGTAACCCCCAGGAATGGTGAACTCCTCCAAAGGAATGTCTCCTCTGCTTCCTCAGCCTGCTGACCAGTGCTTGAGTACAGGGACACTAGGGCATCTCAGTGATCGACCGACTCACTCACTGAAAAATGCTACATTCTGCGCATATCTTCCATGACAGTCCAGCAGGGTAGCTGTTGGAAATCCAAACATGTCCACGCCTGCTGTATGACCTTAATCACCACTTCTTCATATGATTCTTCCATGGGCTATTCTTGAACACCTGAGGAGGAAAAAACAACAAAAAACAGAACAAAAAGAAACAGGAAAAGGCAGGAGAATTGATAAGTGAGAAGGATAAACTCAACAGAAGCTCCAATTTGGGGTATGAGTAAATGGAAGAAATCTGGATTGTGTGATGTATATCTTAATCACCTATAATGTAACTGAAAAGTTTTAGTAATGGTACCATGACCACACATAAGTGAGTCAAGGTGGAAACATGAGGTGGGAAAGCAGAGAACACATATATCTCTTCCTGCCAATCCCAAGATAATGGTCATTCCTGTTTATACCTTAGCCTTGGCATGTGACTGGGATCTCCCACTTCCTTCCCCCACCTAACTACTTGCTCTTTTAAACTTCAAGCCTCCAAAGGAATTCAGAATTTAAAAATCCAACATTTCAGCCTTCATGATTTGTTCTATGATGAAAATGGCTTCAGCTCTCCCCTCCAGCTCCCCTAGGTTATAAAGACAAGAGTTCTCATATGTTTACCTTTGAACAATATTTAGGAGGCTCCAGATCCAGACCCACCCCTCTCCTATTCTTCAAGATATGAGAATACCAATTCTAAGTGTAAATACTTATCAATTCTTGGAAAAGATCTTCTTCAGAAACCAAGTCCAAGGCACTCCAGCTAGGATAAGTAACCTGCCCAAATTCTCAGAGCCAATAAGGAGTCCAGGGTGGGCAAAGGATCGAATTCAAGACTTTTGAGATCCAGAGTCTATGCCCTTAAACTAGACAATTCTCTAGTTTCTTATCACTAAAGAGCTGGTGAGAATTTTTATAAAATGGGACAGAATGTAACAGTGCTTGACCAGACTTTACTACTCTTCAAGATCCTAGGAATCCTCTTGCTCCATATTATGTTTTTCCACATTTTTTTGAGTATTTTCTTCTTACTTTAGGACCCTAATTATTAAATTCATACACTTTATGCAGTGGTTCAGTGCATAATCTTTATTTCCCTCAAATATGTCTCATCAAAATGCTGGCCTCCTGATTTAATGAAATAGCAGTGTGATGCTACAGTTGTTTTGTTAACCTAAGCACCTGGTCTTGACAATTGTACCTTTTGCCACATTTGTTTTGACTGAAGAGGCATTTTAAACTTGTATTTGGAGGTGTCACCTCCAATTTGGAGTAGAAGCTACAAAGGAATCCTCTATGAGACTGCCAGGAGGCTACAGGACATTCATTTGTTAGTTCAAGGTGTTACTCCTCCACAACTGCACATCCATCAAGAGTCCCTGAAAGTGCATGAAACCTGCTGCCAAGTTTGGACTCGGTCCCTGGGGAATCCAGCAAATAGTTTGGTCAGAACAAGTGGGCAGAATTTATAGCTCTGCCTCTCCACATGCTATGAGATGTTCCAAGTAACAACTCAGCTGTGTCTCAGGAACTGCCTTGGTTAATAAAGGGAGATTGTTTTATTTTTCTCCCTAGATCATAAATCTGAGGAAATAATTTCCTGAAGATTTTGAAGTGGCTTTAGTAATAGAAAATTGCTTTTCCTATCAGAGAGGCTATTTATCCTTTGGAAAAACTCAGAATTAGGTCAGGAGAGACTTGGATTCTTGCCTTGAACCTCCCCTACCCCCATACAACCTTGGACAAGTAACGAACAGCCCTGGCTCTATTTCCTTACTAACTAAACAGGTTAACAACACTGTCGTTTCAGGCAGCTCTTGGGAGAGAATAAAAGAACCAAATGTGAAGAATTTGATACGACCTAGAGACTGAAGACCTAAAGTGGAGAGTCCTCAAGAGAGCCCTAGCAGAGGGGGTAAACTTTGTTGTCTCTGGAACCCCTTGGGCGACAGTCTCAGGTTTAGGAAATGAGGGTAGGGGTGATTACTTTCTCCACACATCTGAATCCATTTTGACCTTTCTCCCATTCTCCACCCTGACAAGTCTGTGCTTTCTCCCATTCCCCCTCCCTAGAAAGATTGCATTTTCACCCCCGACCGTGTTGTGAAATCCTCACTGCAGGCCCCTGGGCACACCTGCCTGTGGCCTCCCCCTCCCGCGTCTCCAGGGTGCGGGGCCTTCCTCCATGCTCCGTCCTGCAGAGCGGCGGTCGGAGGGGCCCCTGCTCCCCCGGGCACACTCTCCCCTCCCGCCTCAGGCTCCCCCGGGCCCGCCCTGCGTGCTGGACCTCAGCAACCCGCTCTCCGGTCCAGCTGGACCCTTCTCTGCGGGCCGCTCGCCTCTCCCCTCGCGGGTGGCCTCCCTCGGGGCTCAGGGCCGCGGGGGCCACGGAGCGCCCGGAGGCGGCGGCCCGCTAACGCGGCCCCGCCTAGCCGGGCTCACTGACCCGGCCAGCGACCTCACTCACCGCAGCGGCGCGCGCCCGCAGACAGACAAAGGCCGGCGCCGAGCCCACAGAGCGACGGCGCGAGCGGATCGAACTACAACTCCCAAGAGGCTGCGCGCGAGCCCGCCCGCCGGGGTCCCGGGCCTTGGCCGTCCCGGCTTCTCGGAGCACTGTGGGAAACGTAGTTCCGCGGCGCGCCCAGCTGCTTGGGCTCTGAGGGTCCCGACCGGGCGGGGCCCTCTGTCGAATCCCCTTCGGCCTCTAGGCGGAGGCGCCCTTGCCCGCCGACGTCGTCCGGGGAGTGAGGGAGCCACGCAGCGGCTCAGATTAGTTAGGCCTGGAATAGCAGCAGCCTAGTAAAGCAGTCCGCCGGGCCAGGAAGTCGGGAATCGAGAGTTCTTGAGGGTTTCGTGGAAGGAAACAAAGTCTTGGGGGAGAAAAGTCTTGGGTGCTTAGAGGTTATGTGTTTGGCCGCTGCTTGAGCAAAGACTCAGTGTTCTGTGGTTAAGGCTCTGAAGCTAGGAGCAAATCTTTGAAGCAGAGACTGTGGGAAAGAATTTGACACAACCAGAGAATTTCGAGGGGCTGGGAGGAGGATACTTTTGTCTGGTGTAGAGCTCTTCCTTTCAGATCTCTTTACTAAGATACTTGTTTTGAATTTGCACGTCGGCTCCACCTCTGACTGGCTGGCTAGTTGCGGGGCTCTGGATAAGGCTTCTTACCCTGGTGGTGAGCCCAGGGTATGGTCAGGTGACAGGACAGGTGAGTTTCTTGCGAGAGCCAGGGTTCAGGCCAGGCGACCCCCATTCTGTTCCTTCAGAGTACAGGCAGATATGTGAGTGAACCCAGAAAAAGTCGTTCTTCATGTGCTCTGTGAATTATGGAGAGAAAACAGTATTTTCTAGGGTAACAAGTTTTTTTTCTTAACTGGAGATGTGATTGAAACATGGCGAAATTGTAAGCTCTGAAAATTACTCAGCACATGGGGCAAGAGCTCTTTTTTTATGGGGCATCACTGAGGAGCCACTCAAACACAGGTTGTCAAGGCCTTAGTCCCGTTGTGCGATATTGTGAGGGGTAAGTTTGCTTTTGAGCATCTGTGAGATAAATATTCTTTAAAAATGCCCTCGGCCTCCTTCAAAGGCACTTTTATAGGATGCTCGCCTCTCCCCGCGAGGGAATTTGGACAGGCAAGAATGGCTTTAAAGTTCCTGATGACTGAGGCTGCTGTTGCCTGGGGCTCCCTCCTCCTTAGAATCACCGTTGCTCTCCTTTATCCTGGGGCTCTTTTGCTCACTGTACTTCAGGCTCCCTGCTCCAGAGCTCTCACTTGGAGATGGGTTTGGCCCCTTGAATAGAGGGCTTCATAAAGCAAACTTCCTCTTGCTCTGTCCTTGTCCTCTACCCCACAGCCACTTGTTAAGCAAAACAGAACAAAAAAATTAATTTCACAGAGTATATGAAGTATAAGTTGGTTCTTAAGTGTTAGTCATTACTATTACTAATAACACATTACTTAAGTTCAACTGAATCTGTATGTGCTGAGCCCGTTTTCAGTGTCAGGTACTGTGCTGGGTGTTGGGGACATAAATGGGAACAAGACACATTCCCCTCTCCTAGGAAGGGAGCTGAGAGTCTAGCTGAGAAACAAACACACCACCTTTCTTAAAACCTGGGCCGGCAGCTGCCTCACAGAGAGGTCCCTGAGTGTGCAGTGGAAACTGATCTGATGCCCCCCTCTCCCCCCAAAGCCCCCTCAGGACCACTGCAGAGCTCCCTGTGGTGCCTCCTTCTGTCATTCGTTCCAGAGTTAGGGAGAGAAAGGGGTAGGACACCAGGGGATGGGGCACAATCACTGTTCTCTCTCTCCTTGCTGAACAGCCAGAAAAGTCCAGGAAGCACACAGCAAAGGCCGATCCTTGTGACTGCTGTATGAATGTCTCTGCTTTCTTCTCTCCCAAGGCTGTGTCAGTAGGGCTGTGTGTATCACCTCCCAAACCCCAGGAGTCATTTCTCTTGCTGGTAAACAGCACAAGATGCCTAGAAGTCATTCCAGGCATATTGGTTCTGTTGAGGTCAGGATCAGCTGTGGACATTAGGACAAGTAGATGACAAAGCTTTGGTGGGAAAAGGTGGCTGTAAAAGGGGACTTGTAGTTACTTTTCTCACACAAATCTGCATAAATTCTCTTAAGGAGTCTCAGGAAAGTGGGCATATTGAATCGACGTGGTGGAGAAAGCAGGACAGGAGTTGATGAGACCTAATGCTCCCTAGACAGACATTTAGCAGCCTTCACCAGATCCTAAATGGGGCCGAGTCTTCAACCACCACCAGCAATTTAAGGCCCACACTCAACAGGAGGTGGGGGGTGGGCAGGGTGATGGAGTCAGTAGTGTAGATTTGAAAAATTGCCAAAGAACTATTCCTCCGCTTTGCATGTATTTCAAAACATTAGGCAGGGACAGATAATTCAATAAATGGTGTTATGACAAAAGACTAACCATTTGGGAAAGAAATAAATTTAAATGTTTACCTTACTGTAGCCAAGATAGCCTCTAGATAGATTAAATGTAAAATGTAAAACCCAGATCCACAAAAGGCCCAGAAGAATGTATGGCTTAATACTTTTATAATCTTGGCATAGGAAAGGCTTTCCTAACCATGATAACAAAGGTAGAAACAATAAAGAATAAGATTGCTGGATTTGACTGCATTAAAATCCAACACTTCTGTGTGTCAACACCATTTATGAAGTTAACATATGACAAGCTGGGAAAATATAAATAACTGTCATATTTAAAGATAACATATAAAAACATTTCAATAGAAATTTAGCAAAGGACAGCAACTCACAAAAGAAAAAAATAGAATTAAAGAAAATACTCAGATTTGCTATTAATCTTTTTAAAATGCCAGGTGAAACAGGAAATTTTTTCCCCTAACTACTGAACGGCAAAAATTGTGGAAGGGACTAGGGTAATGGACATTTTCATCCATGTGTAAATTGAGACAGTCATTCTGATTAGACTTTTGGTAATGTGTATCAAAAAGTCCTAAAAATGTACAGATTACATCTAGAATATTTTCCCCAGGGGAAAAAAAAAATCAGATAATTGTATCCTAAATGTGGAATGAAAGCCACAGCATCTAAGTTTGTAAAGTGAATTATTGGCTTGGTAAGGATCCCTTCTGGTTTCTTTGAAGGGAGTTGCTGCCCCAGAAGTTTCCATGAGATGGCATGATGCTCAAGGAAAGCTCTAGTCCTTCACTTGCTGCCATAGTTCTGGGCAGTCTTTGGGTCTAGAGTGGTAGAATCTGCCCTCCTGGGAGAGTTTATCAGAACAATTTTCATTATGTTTCAAGTCTGTTTATTTTAGTCCCTGTCAGGAATGCAAGCCCCTTTAGTCATTTTCAACAACTGTGTTTTATGTCTTCCATACCACTATTCTGTACATTCACTGAACTAACCAGCCTTCCCATCCCTCTAAAACCATCCCACCATGTCCATCATGGAGGCCAGTGCTTGGCAGAAAGCTTGCTGTCTCTCAGGCCTTTTTGCCCAGTGGCCAGACTTGAGGAGCTGAATCTACCAGAAAGAAAAGGATCTGCGTGTTAGTGCAATTCTTTGGAAAGGTTGAATTCTCAGCTATAGCTGTCCAAGTGTCTCTTGACTTGCTAGCTAATTCTCAGGGCTGGAAGTCATCCTGGCCTCTGCTTGGACAAGCCATTCCTGTTCTCTGCAGCTGCTTCTGTCCCTTTGAGCAAATATGTCTTGTGTTTGATCTCACTATTCTTACCTGATACTAATAATTTGGCATTAATGATGCCTAGTGTGTGCATCTTAGCTCTTGTAACTCTTTAACTCTTGCAGCTATTCAAATCTAAATCATAATCTCTGTGGAAACTATTTGTGCAGGGTTCAGACAGATTTTTATTCTTGCCATTTATTTCTACCATGTAACTGGTTACACCTTTCTTCATTCAGTTTTTTGGTGGAGTTGGTTACAAAGCAGAAGATGGGAGGGGAAGTTTGGGGTGGGGACTGATGCCCCACACTTAGTATATATTTGCCTCTATTTCCAGCGCTAGGGGCCAGGACTTCCTTTCCTGCTGAGGCTCTAATGCCCAGAGCTGATTATTCTGTTTGGTGCACTTAGTGGGGCTGCCTTTCGGGATCCCTTTAGGATATATTTATGGTGCTGTTTGGCCCAGAAAGAGGAGGTGCCCTTTGTTGTGTGGGTGAGTGTAGTCCTGTCATAATGACCCTTCTGAGGAGATGGTAAGGGGGAGCATGATGTCAGCCCATTTTGTAGGAAGGCCTCCCAGGCAGCCAGATGATGAAGGCATGAATGGGGCTGCAGGTGAGAGCTAGAAGTTGTTCCTGCTCAGCTTATCTGTTGAATGTTACTTCCTGCTATACCGAAGTCCCAGCTAGAGCCCTGGGAGCCAGGGTTCTTCACTGGGGGCCCATGGATATGCACCACATGGGTCTCTGAACTTGCAAAATGCCATGAGTGAATTTTGGAACAGATAGGACTTACTTTTCATCAAAGAGTTGGTTGAACTCCAAAAAGATTAAAATGATTATTTTAGAGAATCCTTGAGTAAACAGAGATAGATCATTTTACACTTTTTTCTTTCAACTTTTTCTTTTTTAAGTAGGCTACACACCCAGTATGGAGCCCAATGCCGGGCCTGAACTCACGACCCTGAGATCAAGACCTGAGCTGAGATCAAGGGTCGGACTTAACTGACTGAGCCACCCAGGCACCCTGAACTTCTAATTTGAAATAATTTTAGACTTACAGAAAAGTCACAAGAACAGTACAGGGGTTTTCACATTCATCTTTCACCCAGCTTTCCCTAATAGTAACAACTGAGAGAATTATAACAACAATGAAAACCAGGAAATTAACATTGGTACAATACCCAAGAGTAATACTTAATAGTAAATGACTGACCTTACTGAAATTTCACCGGTTTTACCCCTAGTGTTCATTTTCTGTTCCTGGGTCTGTCCAGGGTTCCATGTTGCATTTTAGTTGTTGTGTCTCATTAATTTCCTCCTATTTGTGGTACTTCCCCATTTTAAAGGAGAAAATA